TGTGCCGATTAATTTTGGTCTGCAATGATCGCAAAAGTATGTTTTACTGCCAGCAGGCTAAGAATTTATAATACAGAGCTCCTATCTTTTGTTTTGGCATGTCAAATTCAGTACTTAGGCGTTATATACCTTTTTTGAAGATACCAGTTGCCCTTTCTCTGGTTAATGAACGGTTCTAAGGTTGACTACCAACCCAGGGTCTGACTACTAACCCAGGGTTTAACTACCAATCAAGGGGTTAACTAGAATATTACTAATCCAGGATTGACAATAAATCCAGGGCTCCGTACCAATCCAGGGTTGACATCTAGTCGGATTCCTGATCTATTTCAAATCCAAATGACAGACTACAATCAGTGGAAAGTACTTTACTGGAAAATCTTTTATTTATAACCACAAAATAGTTGCTTAAAACCATTATTAAATATCTTAATAAAACCAAAGACTTATTCAAAGTTTTGGGCAGAATAGCTGTACACAGTTTTAAACATCAATGTTCACCTACATACCATTTCTTTTTCTGAATAAATTTGCATGATCTTAATCAGACAGTCTAAACGAACAAAAAACAACAAAGTCTCTATATCTTTTTGTGAATCCATACACAATGTTCTTTATTTTAATTTTCATGGTTTTTGAATAAGCTTTTAACAAGCAAAAGTGACTAACACTTATACAATGACAAAAATCACAACTCACAAAAGGCTTTAACATTTTAACATAATAAACAAAAATATATCTTTAACCTGTAACAGCCTCCACTATTGATTAAATAAATGGTCTGTTTCAAAATTTCTGATTGGTTCAGTAGACTGTTACTTAAATAGTATCTAACAAATCATTAAGCTTGAATAAAATGTAAATATGGTTTTTGGTCATTTTTCTACTATATAAAACCGATTCAATATGAAAAACAAAAATTGGATGATTTAAGGGTAAACCATGCTCCCTATTCCAAAAGCTCTCCTTATACACAAGTCTAATGTTCCTGGTATTTAAAATTATAATATGTTGTAGAATCATTGTTAATCCTAGCCTACTAGTGTTCAACAAAATATTCAACTTTTGATTAAATTAATTTATGACACAATACAAGCTGAAATCAAAACATCGTTTTGATTTGAATCCATTTCGTTTCTTTATAATTAAATTTCACTAAAATCTAGCCAAACAATTTTTTACAAATGCTTACTTGGAGATAAACTTTAGGTAACAATTTAGGTACAATGTATTTCAAGACCTGCACTAAATTATCAAATGTAAATTAATGTCAATTAAGTATAACTGTCAATAATGGTTTAATGCTCTATATGACAATTTGACAAAACTATCACAATAACTGCAAATTATAATATTTAACTAGTTGAAATATACATATAAATGTATACATGCGTACTACATTTTTGAGCAAAGAAACTTTCATCAATTCCAATTCCCTAATTGGTTTTTTTCTCTGAAAACTTTAAAAATATTTATTAAATTTGTATCACTCATATTTTTTGCATTTAAAAAGCTCTTCAGTTGATAGGAAAGCAACGAATTTGTGAATAATTAAACTACCTTTGATTAAATGAAAAACATTTAAGCCATTAAATAATAAACCAGTCTCAAAAATGGCACTTTATCATTGGTCAATGTTAATTATTGGTCAATCAATATTAAAACAATCAATCAAATCTTAGAAATGCGAGATTTGTCCCCAAACTCTAGTTCATTCTATATTAAAGAATGTTTTTATTGAGAACAGTCTATTTGTTATTTACAAAGAGTAAAGTGAATAACTTTAGTTACATACAGATGAATAATAAGTTTTGTGGATCAATTAGTTCTGAAAACATATCTTTAAAGTTAATATTTCTTACTTTCTCAAAATCTATGAAGCCATGTGTAAATTGAAGCTATTTTGTCACAGGCCGAAAAATGTCTTAAACCTGACGTCAAAACAAGGTTGTTTTACATATACAACAATGAACATGAAAATATAAATATTAGTATTCAATAAAACGTTTTATACTAAATGCTATATATATGTTATAATAAATGGAGTATTACAATCTTGGTTCTATTTCATTGGTTATATTTAGTACCGGTAATCAAATTAAAATCTGATTTTTATTTATAAATATAAAAATTACCTCTTCACAAATTCTCCTTGCAAGTTGGTCACATCATTAAACTTGAAACAAATATTTGCCAAATATTTCACCACAAAAACAGGCACTTAAAACACCACCTTTGGTCCTAATATTTACATATAGAAAAATACTATTTGTTCTACATTTAGTCAATATAAAAATAGGCCATCAAAGTATCAAGTAATCTGTATCATGTAAACGAGTAAAATATAGAAATATACATCAGCAACATTAATACCAGAACAAAGGACATAAGTTCCTATAATAGGAAAGAAGAATGCAAAAAGGATAAGAATTTTTTCATAACATTGTGTTTTATCATATAAATTAGCATCAGTTGCCATACTATAGTAATGTCGGACTTGTTTTAAAACAAACAAAAAACACTATAAAATACAGTGTAAAATAGAAAGAAAAATTTTTTTTATCTGATCTCTTTCCTCTCTGTCAATGTGTTATAAAATATGTTCATAATTTTTCCCTTCTCAGTGAGACACAGTCTATATTTACTCTATAATCCTCTATATCTAATCCCCTGTATATTCTGACATGTGTTCCTTTTACACAAGCAATGATAATACTAATAATGTTGTTTTATTATATACTTATAGATGAAATATTGAGAAATATTGATAAAATAAAATGCGTATTTTCATTTTCTGTATTTTCACTGTAAAAATTTATTTTTCACTGTGTTGAAACATATTTTCCGCATTTTCACTGGTGTCTAGACGGACTACTTTCTTTTAAATTCTGCCAGTACACAACATTTAAGGGAAAGTCTTTCAAAAAGAGGAAATGTATATAATAAACAGAAAATTTAAGTTTTTTTCTGTAACCACATGATTTATTTTCATCTTGTGGCATGAAAATTAACATATTTCACTCATGGCTACCGCCACTCATGAAATATTTATTTTCACACCACTCGATGAAAATAAATCATGTATTTACAGAAAAAACTTGAATATCCTCTATATATTAATAAACATTAAATTGGGAGATCATATAAGTTATTTGTGCTGCTTCTCCAAGTTCTATATCATTAACAGTTGAACAAATGTTGAACATACAACTGATCATTTTTTGAGATCAAGACACAACAATACTTTAAATTTAGAAAAATATATAAAATGAATGTATTTTAAGAAACATGAAAGCAACAGTCTTCAATAAAAGTGTGTCCAAATAAGGCACATAGCAAATTAAGTTTTTCTAGAAGTTTATACAACTTTTGTTTTGACTTTAAAATAAGGAAATAAAACAAAAAATCTAGCCTCGTTTCCAAGGGCAACATAAAGCTAAGTTTACCAATTATATATACCACATTAAAATCTAACAAGTAACAGTAAAAGTAGAAGTATATTATGTAATAAAGAGTAGGCCTAACAAATGACAAAATGAAGCAAAATCATACGCTATCAATCTTTGAAAAAAGAAAAGAGCATTTAAAGCAGTAAAGACAATTATACAAATGACTATTTCTTTCTCTTCTATATAAAGTCTTGCAGCAGAGTTGACAATATAAAATAATTCTAAATGCAGTTTCCATTTTAACTTGTCTATTTTGAAACACATTTTACTTACTAGCAAAACTTGAAAAAAAAAAATTCACATGCACACAAAAACATTTTCTTCCGTAGCAAGCAAATTCACATTTAAAGCAAGCAATTCATATTTGGTGATAAGCAATATCCTACGTATGATTTTATAAGATTGTGTTCCCAATTTAAAAATAATGCAGTCATGTGTAAAAAAGTGAAAAATTTACACAATAAATGGAATGTGCAAGTATTTGTAAAAATATGTTTAGATGAACAGACAAACCCCTATATTTGTCTACTAATCAATTATACTCCTAGATTCTAATTATCCATATTTGGATTTCTACAGACTTTCTTATAACTTACCACCAATTAAAAAGTATTAAAAATCATACTACTTTTAGAAGCAAGAATAAACATTTTTGTAAAACATCATCTAAATAAGATACCAATTTAAACCTTTTCTAAACACTTTTTACATCCATGTTTTATAGGATTCAATGCAATGTCACGTTCACAAGTTCATAATGAATGTCATTAATTTCATAAATCTGTTAACTTCACACACAACATTCCATGGCCTGCCATGGTAATAAATTAAGTTTTATATCAATTAAAGAATGACTGTATGATAGTGGTACACATGTTTTGTGAAATAACACTTTACTCTCACTGATTCTTGATACATGATGATACCGTTATGTCCTTTCTCATTTTAAAGTACATTCAAATTTAATAAAAATATTTATATCAATTTTCTTATTTTCATTCAAAAACTATATATAATGGTGGTTTTCATATATCACAATAAATAAATGTAAATGAATATCACACATATAAGTAATCAGGTCAATTTTATCACCAGGCACATAAAATAGTTTATCTTCTAGATAATCCCTAATTCCTAAAGCTAACACAATAATTATCTGTCTCCACAATCATATTTATACATGATAACATATTGTATAATAAATTTCAACATAAACTGTCAAGTAAGTTTAAGGTCCCGATAAACACTAACATAACAACAAACATTATGTGACATAAGTACACCTGAAATTTTGTGACTTAGTTTCCTTTTCTATCTTCCCTTTCTTTTCTAAAATAAACAAATAGGCTACAATATACAAAAAAAATTTCTACAACACAAAACAAATGCACTACATTTCACTTCACAAAATGTAAACTTTCAAAAAGAAACAAGAAGAAATACAACCTGTCTTCACATATATCAACAAGTGTCTAAATAACAGATAAATAGATAAAGTCCTATAATATTTATGTAACAACCATCTGTTTAAATTTTTATGCCTATATTTACTTTGCTATACCCAGCCTCTTTTGTAGAAATTTTGATGAAATCTTGTTGGCATTTTTCCGTAAGTAATCCGAGCCCCCGCACTTGTTCCATTCCTGCTCGAACTCTCGGCCGAGGATTTCAGCTCCTTTCTTCTTTGACAAGCCAGTTTCTTCTACACTTAGCTCACACATGTTTAGGTCATCAACACCTGGAGATAAAGGTCAAGAAAATCTATACCTATTCCTATCAAACTATCATAAATTTATCAGTCTAAATGCCTTAATATTATAAATGCACTTCATACAATATGAAATGTTCAACTACTTTTAACTTTTTAAATGAGTATATAAAATACATTATAGCATAAAATCGGCAATTTTTGCCTCTTTTGCCCATGTTATAACGGGACCAAAACCATGTGTTAACATAGTCACGCGCTCTTGTTATAGCCCGGTTTCACCTATGCGCAATACATACAGGGCCGAGTAAACAAACAAACAAAAAATGACGATTTCGCCTGTTTGCCGAAGAGTCATGCGCTCTTGTTATATTGAAATTTATTGAATTCGAGGGCCTCAGTCGCATATTCAAGTAACTATGCCGGAAAAAACGGCGTATAGACATCCGGTGCTAATCTTGGTTGTCGCCCCTTTTTCTAAGAAACGGACAGTTGTCAATGTAAACAAATACAGTAGAATCTACCTGTCATTCAGTTTAACTTCTTACAAAACTAGATAACACAAAATTAATATGAGAAAATGTTTTTTATTTATGTTAATGTTGATGCTGTGGTTTGACAGTCAGTGTTCCCGTTAAATGCAATTCAATATAAATATGATTTTACAAGGTTAGATAACATCATACTCGAATTTTGCTCTTAAAGTAATGGAAGTCATTAATAGTCCCAGGATGTCTTCCACTCTGCATTATTTCAGGTACAATGCAAGGCGGCACACCTGAGTAGAACCACTGACCTTCAATAAAATAGCAGGATAACTTTCTAACATATATGAGTTATAGTTAGCTCTGAAAACCTTATTTCAAATACATTATGCTATGATGAATCAATATATGAAATAAGAGAATATTTCTAACTTTTTTAAGTTACAAAGGCTCAATTTCAGATTTAAAATGTTGATAAATACTGGCTGTGAAATTCCCCACAAAAATGTAATCTAAGTTAGCTTTTATGTCTCTAAACATTGATGTGAATACTTGAAAGGGTGTTAAGCTATAATTTGCAAAACGTAGTACAAATACAGTATTAACTACGTTGATGTCCACTTGCTTCTGGACAGACTTTTAGCTACAAGTGATTATGATATTTATCCAAATGAACAGAATATGCAACAACTGTTTTCTAAAAAATTTATCCTTTTTTGTAAGGTCCTTTTTTATCAAGATACTAAACATTTCAACAGCTTTATAACAAACAACTTTGAAAACATGACAATTGAAATTTTTGAAAAACACTGTTAATTTACCTTCTTTGACAACTTGAGTGGGTGCTCTCTGTTTGTCATCAGTTTTACCACCTTGTTTCTTGTTCTTGGATTTCCAGGCATGGTAAACCTTGAGTCGTCTATGAAACTCAAAACGACAGGCATCCAATAGATCCATGTCTGTAAAAATACAATATCACAGTTATTGTACAATGTCAATAATTTGTCAAATCAGTTTCTGATTGATAGAAGAGAAAGTGTAGGAATAAACTACAATCACAAATGATAAAGCAAACGGGGGCTGTATGCTTACCACATGAAGTGTTGATAGCATCTCTGAGCTCTGCGTATTTCCATTTTGATAGATCATGTTTCTGACCAGCCATGGCTGCACGCTGGGCCATCACAGCTTCAGACCTGTTTAAAATAACAAGACGACTCTTTGTAAATAAGTAAAGATATTTAATGCTTTAGTCAATCTGTGCACTAATAAAGTCTGACCAGCAAAAGGAAAATAGCAGTCCCTGACTTTTCGTTCTTAGCTTTTATATTGCATCAAATATTTTTTTATCTCATTACAGACAATTATCACTAATTGTAATTGTTTAAAATACACCATGTAACTACTTGAATAACAATTTTTCTATAATTATCTCTTACAATGACTATACATTTAATTTGTATGTGTGAAGTAATATGCTTGTTGATTCAATAAGATCAGTAACATAATCATTTAAACAATATTCAGTAAGTGTTATAAGTAACAAAACTAAAGAATATTGTTAATACATTAACCATATTCATAGTAACAGTTTGAATGCTAGTGGTAGTAATAACTTGTGTCATCAGTCTCTGATATACAGGTTACTCTGTACATTGTATTTATATACAGACCAACCTGTGCACCAGAGACTGTCTGACCACACTCAATACTGGTGGCTAAAATGTTAAAGTATCTTAATATTGAATTCCTTATGGTGTATGTACAGTTCTATGTTTAAAGCACATTATTCATATTTGGTAGAACAAGTTAAAAGTACTATAACAACAACAATTATATCAAGCATTGCTAATAACATGCCATTCAATCATCTAGAAAATAAATTCATCAACATTTTTATATCATACAGTACTGTGATTGTGTCATTCTTGTACAAATAAAGAAGAAGATAATCACCATTTATGAAGTAAAATAAACACTTGCAAAACTATAAAATAAACAACACTTATTATTGTCACTAACAACTGAAACCATTCTGATATCTTTTTCTCTGTTCCATCACTAAACTGCTGTAAAATTGGGTAACTAAGGGAGAAAAGCATATAAAACAAGGGAACTTTTGTTGGATAATTTTTTTTTTATTGAAAGTGTTTTTCCTGAGATGACATTTTTTCTAGAGCAGGTTTATTTGGTTGGTAGTTTAACCCTTTCCCTGCTGGAACCTCAGGTAATTTTACATAGAGCCAGGCAAGCGAGTCTGACCAGGTTCTATACTGTTAGCTGACTAACTTTAACTTTCATCTAGATATCTCCAACAGCTGGACACATCTATTCAGGCAGGACAGGGATATTGAGGGTACACAATGTACTAACTTTATTATATTATAACTTATAGAAATCAGTGTAAGGTAAGTGTCAGGAGAGGTTTGAGGAGTATTCTATATACCAGTGAAGTATTTCATAATAATGGCAGTAAATAAATACATAACTTACAAGGGCACAAGTGTGTTATATATAGTGGACAAATGTGAAACAAATTCCTTATATCTTTATTATTTCAATGGCTCATAGAGCAAATAACAAGAGCTGTCCGTAAGACAGCGCGCTCGACTTTTTTATTGCTTGCCAATAAAAAAAGTTTTTGCAGTAAAAGGCAATACAAGAATCTCTGTATTTTTAAAGTGAACTAGTTGTTTGATACCCTTGAATATTACAGCAATGTTTATATGACATAATTTTTGGTAAAGTGAACAAGTGGATAGGAATGAATTTTTTTAGATTTTTTTAAGTTTTTTAGTGCTTGCCTATAATACAAAACATTGACAGTTAAGGGCCATAATTCAAATAAAATCTTTGACAGAATTACCTTCTCCTGGACATGTTTGGGAATCATGATTGTAAACAAGTATTCCAACTTTCAAATTAATATCTCAAACAGTTCAGTCAAAAAGTGGACTGGTACTAAAAACTTAACCAAGATTCTAAGTCGATAAAAGGCCTTAATTTTTAAAACAAATCCTTGACAGAGTTACCTTCTCTTGCGTACAGATGGGGGTAATGATGTGAAATAGCATTAAAAGTTTCAAAGCAATATCTCAAAGGGTTAAGGCAATAAGTGGATTTTACCCATATTCATTGTATTTTCTAAGTCAAAAAGGGGCATAATTCTGTCAAAAACCTTGACAGAGTTATGTCCTCTTGTCTGTTGATGAAGGTCGTGATGGTAAACAAGTATGGTCAGTTTCAAAGCAATACCTCCAATGGTTTTGAAATAAAGTGAGGTGGTACAAAAAACTTAACCAAGCTCAATACACTTTCTAAGTCAAAAAAGGGCCATAATTCTGTCAAAAACCTTGACAGAGTTATGTACTCTTGTCTGTAGATGGAGGTTATGATGGTGAACAAGTATGGTAAGTTTCAAAGCCATACTTGTAATACTTCTGAAATAAAGTGGGGTGGTACGAAAAACTTAACCAAGGTGTGACGCCAACGCCGACGCCGACGCCGGGGCGAGTAGGATAGCTCCCCTTTTCATAGAAAAGTCGAGCTAAAAACCATAAAGGATACACTTATTTCAGATCAAACTTTAAATGTATGAAAATACTTGGGAGATATTTATTTATAAAAATATATAGACATAATGAAGAAACTTCATCAAATTAAGTACTTTAAAACAGGGCATAAATTTTGTATACATTAAATTAGTAAGACCTGTCTATTCTGTATATTACTGGCATAGGTACATAAGAATCAACTATGACACATGTATTGTTACTGTTAAGCCATGCCGGACATTTTGTCTTTATTTCACTGTAACATAAAGAGTGACAAGTGTGTAAACATATATATAAATGTTCATAAAATATGTTTATGTTTTGGGGTTTTAGTGCTAAAGGACGATGCGGGTCATGCTTTATCACCTGACAGTGTTGTCAATCACCCAGGGATTGTTTTTACCACCTGCTGCAGCCAGATTAGTTCCACTACCAGACTTAGGTAATTCACCACTAAATTAAACATTATTATACATCACTACCATACAAGGTAATTTATCACTAAATTATATATATGACACATTACTATTCCTTTTTGTGAAATTTGAGAATGATATCTTAAACCATTTTTATACAAAACTAGAAATGTGTCCATAGGACACGGGTGCCCCCACACTCCACTGTTTTGACAAACTTATGACTCTATGTCAAATATTTTAGGCTACATGTGCCACAAGGTGTAAACTAAAAATAGTTTACTTAGTAAAGGGCAAGAAATTTACAAATACTGAATAAATCCACAAGTGGACCCCAAAGTGCATAATTTCACATGCTGACCAACATTCTTGTAAACTTTCAAGTCACAGGTCAAATACTTTTTGAGCTATGCCTGAAAATTGCAAATTTACACTAAGTCAAGGGCAATAACTCTAACAAAACTGAAAAAAATCCAAATGCAAAATCCCAGGTGCATAGCTTCACAGTAATGTTGATCATTATTCCTGCAAAATTGATTGATTCTACCTCATGCACTCAAGGAACAAATAACACAACATAATGAAACAGTTTTTACTAAGTCAAAGGCAATAACTCTACAAATACTGGATAAATCCACAAGCAAAATCCAAGGTGCACAACTACATATGCTGATCAACATTCCTGTTAAGTTTGATGACTGTAGGTTAAATATATTTTGAGGTAATATTGAAAATTGAAAATTTTCACTTAGTTAGTCAAGGACAATTACTCTGACAAAACATATCAATTCACAGATTTAAAACTTCACATGCTGATCAACATTCCTGTAAAGTTTCATGACCCTGTGTCAAATACTTTTGAGCTTCATGTCACACAAGTTGAAAATTGCAAATTTTTACTAAGTCAAGGACAATAACTCTACAAATACTAAATAAATCTAAACGAAAATACCCAGGTGCACAACTACACATGCTGATCAACATTCCTGTAAAGTTTCATGACCCTAGGTCAAATACTTTTTGAGCTACGTGCGACACAAGTTTAAAATTGAAAAAATTTTATTAAGTCAAGGGCAATACTCTGACAAAACAAAATAAATCCATAAGCGAAACCCCAGGTGCACAACTTCACATGCTGAGCAACATTCCAGACTCTAGGTCAAATATTTTCTGAGTTACGTGCGACACAAGTTGAAAATTGTAAATTTTTACTTAGTCAAGGGCAATAACTCTAAAAATACTAAATATAGCCACAAGAAAATACCAAGGTGCACAACTTCACATGCTGAGCAACATTCCTGTAAAGTTTCATGACTCTAGGTCAAATACTGTTTGAGCTATGTGCGACACAAAATGAGAACAGACGGAAGGACAGACGAACAAAGGTAAATCTAAATGGCCCCCCTAAAGTGGGGGCACAAAAAACATTTTGAAAGTTGTTGTGTCATAAATGTCATTCCTATAAGCTAATCATAACAATCAGAACAATTGTTAAGTCATTTACTAGGGTGAAGGATGGATGCCTTGAAGTCTAAATTTAATATGCACTGTGTTTATATAAGATAGTAACATATGTCAGTATCTTAACATATTATATTGTATGAATTTTTGTATCTATGTTGACTATGTTCATCTTGTTAACTTATGGAAAATTTGTTCACTTTAATAGTACTAAATAAACATTGCTAATTATCTTCAAATGTTAAAACATATTAAGCTATATCTTATGAACTATTTTTAAATAACTTATCAACAGTAAAATTATATTGTTTCAATAATGTAACGTTCAACAACCTTTTGAATTTTAAATCCTAAAGGAAAAAATCCACATGTACATTTATTATTCAGCAATTAAAATTTCAAGCATTCATAATTTTCATTAAGTCCCATTATTTGTATATCAGTATGAACCAGACATCTTAATGTATAAACAGATTAGAAAGCAACAACACCAAAGACTAAAAGTAAAGGAAGTCTTATATACAACTACATATAATCAACAATGTACCTAACAAGAGGTGGTAGAGTAACGTCCTCTACTTGGTTTTGATCTTCAGCTGCTAGACGTAGAGCAATCTCTCTGTCACGACGCTCCTGTTCAATGATAGCCTGTCTCTCTGCTTGTTCTTGTCGTTCCTTTTCTTTCTGGGCATCCAAGATTGCCTGTTTATAAAATATATTCTAGTTAAATATCCGAGTTTTGAGTAATCATTTAGTTCATAAGTTTTATTTGTTCAGTTGCAGATAGAGTTATATCCTACAAAATTATAATGTTCCAGTAAATATTATACCATATTTCTACATGTAATTGCAGCAGAAATTTATCAACACATTATCAATATAATTTTACCTGTTGTTTCTTTTCCTCTGCTTCTCTCTTCTTTCTCTCTTCTTCCTCCTTCTTTCTTTTTGCTTCCATCTCTGCTTTCCTTTAAAACAAATGTAAACAAAACCATAAAGAATGTTTCTTACAGGCTACATGTATACAAAACCGTAAGAAATGTTTCTTACAAGCTAATGTTTACGAAAACATTATAAATGGTTTTTACATGATAACAAAACAGACTAAGATATGTTACATGACTCTTTAAATTGTTTTAAGGGTGTTAAGCTATAACAGATACACATGTATATACTAAAATGATGTCAAAAGCTGTACAATTGAGTTTTCTGCATATTTTTTATCATCACCAGATTTATTAGATATTTACTAAAATTTTATTTTAAGGTACTTCGGTGTTTTAAATCAAGAAACAAAGAAATTTTCTACATATAACAGAACTAATCAATTGCTGGAGACAATGATGATTTGTCCCTGTATCAGTATCAAACCAGACCAATCTGCTTATACATGTAGACTGGTCTAATACTGTTGGATAATGTATTTAATCATTTTGACATCAAGTTTCAAATTCTTACAGTTTTCTGTCTTCTTCCTCCTGTTTCCTCTTTCTCTCTTCTTCTTCCTTCCTCTTTCTTTCTCTCTCCATTTCTTCCTGTATTTTTCTCAGACGTTCTTGTTCCTCCTTCACCTTCTGTTGTTCTAGTTGATTTTTCAGGTCGTCAAGGTTACGGTTCATCTTATTTATCAGATCCTGGTGAGCATTGTTCATCTGCTCTCTGGTCATGTCAGTTGTCTATAGTAAACAAAATATCTTCATTTTTATGTGGCTTTTATAAGTACAGCAATAAAAACTTCAAATAGCACTATTACTTTTGAATGAGTACTATTTTAAGCATGAGTGCCTGAATACAAACACCAATATTTGTCAACTTCACCTCAATAACTTTCATACATGAAAGTATTTAATACTCACTATAGGTCTCTGGTCCAGAGCACTGAGGAGCAAAAAGGTATGCAAACTTTGTTCTTTCTTGGTAATAAATGTCTGTTAACACTAAACACCACTAGATTTATGTAAGTTAACAAGCGCCATTTCTGCTATAAAAGTAACTGGGGAAACCTACCCTGATTTTCTGGATGAGACCAGTTAGTGCTGATTCAATCTCCTTGACCTTGGCTGTCGCAGATTCTTTATCCTTCTTCATCTTAGATACAATGTCATTCATCAAGGTTAACTGATTCATTGTGGCCTTCACCTTTGTTATGGCCTCATATCTAATTTACAAATAGAATAACATGATGGGAAGTGGGTTTAACAATAAAACAATCAATTCAATTCATATATATATGAAATTGTAAACAGACTTGTCAGGTTCAAATTTAGAGTGACATGATAAAGCACTTGTAATATGACTTTATAACACATTTACAGTCTCACTAAATAATACAAGCTAATTCATTGTACTTTTCACCATTTTCTTGTAAAGTGGTATCAAAATTTGCATATTTATGGTCACAGCATTAGCATGATAACTTAACTATTATGATAAATGTGTTTCTAAAACAAACTTACTTAGGTTTGAACTTCCTGGCAATGGTCCACATTCTGATTGATTTCTGTATGGTCACCAATCTCTCCTTTCTCCATATTATCTTGTTCTTTACTGAAACACACATTAAACTTTAACTAGTACAACAACATACATCTTGTTCTTTACTGAAACACACATTAAACTTCAACTAGTATAACACTTGAACATACATTCTGACACAAGATTGTATGACATGACAAAATTCTAGCAAGTTGAGTAACTTTTAATGAACAGTCAACATGATACATCAACATACAGAAAGTTTGGTAGGAAATCTGCCACTGACATTACTATTCATTCAAACAAAAACATTCAGAAACTTATACCTTTTTTACTTTTAGATGCTTGAATAATTTTGAATATTGAGATCTCTCAAGAAACTTACAGGACAGCAATCCAAGACTATAACTCAGCAGGTACTGACATCAAATCTTGCATTTATAGTAAAAAACAATAAAAAACAGAAATTCAAAAATTAGCGATAATATTCTTTACACTTGAATGCTTCAGTTAATTTATTAGAAAGATGTTTATGAGGACTGGGAAAGACTTACGTTTAATGACTGACAGTGTACACCACTGTGCTTTCTTCCATCTAGAACAGAGAAGCCAGCGTCGCACCTTGGCAATGAGGGCGGCCAAATTCTCCGGGTCACTTTTCATAATCTGGTCAAACTCGGCAAACTTTCCTGGTCTAAAGAACACCTTTGTCAAACCAAACTTGAAATCATTCTCATTCAAACCAAGTGCTTTAAACAGAGCCTGTAATAATATAAGAATAATTTTATAATTATTATCAACCAAGAACTCAACAAATACCGATCAAGTTTTTATAATCTTACACTTTTATCTTAGAAACATAAGCAGATACTCTCTACTGTTCAATTTATTGAAAAAGATCCATTTTCAACAATTTGAAAATGTATTTTCAGAGATCAAATTTATTCAATTTATGGTTGGATGATTTCTGAACGTACATCTTGCCAAGGACACATACACCTGATCAATTTAATCTATGCAAATTGCCACATATTCCAACTAACACTATAAAAATATATATATATTTTTTTTAAATCATATGAACACTATTGATGTCCAACAGTGCCTTTCCAACTGTATAACAACAGCCAGTGTTGTTTTATTTCTTTGGTCCTTCCAAATCATTGATTTCAGCACATTGTGTTGAAGATTGAAAGATGGTGTTAGGGGGCACTTCTACATTATCCCTCATGAACAGACTTTTCATGTAATCTTGAAAATTTTCAGTGCTTGTTTGGGATCTTTCCTTTATCCTGATATTTTACCACATTTCTGTAATTCAAATGATATCATTACCTTGCAGAAGAGTCTAGGATCGAGACGTGCAAGATCTGGGGGTAAGTATTTCTTATACATGTTGTACAGCTCAGAAAACTGTGTCCTTGATGGGAAACCTTGCTGCATAAGATCTAACACAGCATTCATTCCTGAAAAGACAATCTTAATACTTTAATACTGTACAGTTATATAGAGAAGACTTTCCATATTCCATATATCACAAATAGAGTCAAACAGAAATATCACATAAACACAAGAAAATGCAGATCTTATAATAAATGAATTTACAATAAATTTACTAATAATCTAAAAATAGGAACCAGTAGATGTTTCATGCTAAACATCTAAGTTCTAGCTCATTGGGTTTTTTAAAAGAAGATTTTTTAAGTTTTTACTATACACATATAGTTAAAAACAATGACACCCCTGGGGCAGGGCCAGTTTTGACCCCCGGGCTTTTATTTGAACAAACTTTGTAGATATTTACTTAAAAATGTTTCATGTATAATATCTAAACTCAAGCTATTTGGGTTTTTTCAAAGAAGATTTTTAAGTTTTTGCTATACACATATAAGGAAAATCAATAACCCCCGGGGCGGGCCAGTTTTGACCCCAGGGCTTTTATTTGAACATACTTGGTAGACACCCATTAGAACATATTTCATGCTAAATATCTTAGCTCTAGCTCTTTGAGTTCTTTAAAAGAAGATTTTTTAAGTTTTTACTATATGCATATAGGGAAAATCAATGACCCCCTGGGGCGGGGCCAATTTTGACCCCAGGGCTTTTATTTGAACAAACTTGGTAGACACTCATTAGAAGATGTTTCATGCTAAATATCTTAGCTCTAGCTCTTTGGGTTCTTTAAAAGAAGATTTTTTAAGTTTTTACTATATGCATATAGGGAAAATCTATGACCCCCTGGGACGGGGCCAATTTTGACCCCAGGGCTTTTATTTGAACAAACTTGGTAGACATTCACTAGAAGATGTTTCATGCCAAATATCTAAGCTCTAGCTCTTACGGTTCTTTAAAAGAAGATTTTTTAAGTTTTTACTATATGCATATAGGGAAAATCAATGACCCCCTGGGGCGGGGCCAATTTTGACCCTAGGGCTTTTATTTGAACAAACTTGGTAGACACTCATTAGAAGATGTTTCATGCCAAATATCTAAGCTCTAGCTCTTACGGTTCTTTAAAAGAAGATATTTAAAGATTTTTCTTTCGGTTGCCATGGCAACCAGAGTTCTGCATGAAATGGAATTCTTTGAACAATCTTGATAGAGCTTCATACAAAGAGTATTCCTGCCAAGTTTCATTAACATTGGCCTTGCGGTATCATAGAAGATGTCCTTAGAATATTTAAAATGTGGACGGACGACAGACGACGGACGCCATTTGGTTGGCCATCCTAAAAGCTCACCTGCACTTTGTGCAAGGTGAGCTAAAAACTTGAAGACTGTTAAAAGGAAGTAGAACTGAATTAGGGAGGTTACAGTGCATTTATCAGGATGTCTACCTCTATAGCTGAGGTAGTAATAACTTAGCGGTGTCTACCAATTAACAGCCAGATCCTGGGTTTGAGCATTTAGGTACCACCATGTTTGTCTCATATGACAGTATTACTAGTTTGTCCAGGAGAAAATACTGGTTTCAATAGGCTCCAAACTAATATAACAATCAGGGTTAAACTAATATACTGGTTCAAGTTTTACATATTCTCAACAAAACATGAAAACTAAATACCTGCACATTCCAGCTGACTAAGAATAGATGCTCCCTCGGCCAAGTGATCAGCCATCTTACTGTTAGGCTTGATACAACGTACAAAGTTTGTTCCCTGTATTTAAATAATTAATCTGTTTACACATATACATGTAGAAGCAAAAAAAAAAAATGTTATCGTTTTTTTTTTAATATATTACACATTCTTTTTGAGAAAAAATATTTCCTGTTATTTTCTTCTAGGTTTCACAAAAAATGTTTAGTTTTAAAGGTTTTCATTGTTCACAATTATAATAAGAGAGCACTTCATCATCTCATTCCAATAGTTTGTGTACTCTCCAGATAAAATTTCAAGACAAAAACACTATAAAAAATATTTTGAACTTAATTTTTTACAACTGAAATAATTTCCATGACAACTTTTTCCAAAGCTGTCTATTTTAGAAAGACAGTTAAAGGAGCTTACAGTAGCTTTGAGTTTTTCCATGAGAACAACGAGCTGTGAGCGGAACTTACTACCGACACTGATAAAGTTCAGTTTGCCGGTGGACACTTCAACAGCTTCAAACATCTGTTTCAACAACTTGTTGTTACTCTCTCTAAACAGGAACTCAAGGGAGGCGTGCAGAGCGTCATTGTTCTTCTCAATAAACTGTGCCTATAATTAATAAAATATTGTGTGAGTTTGGTTATAGACAAAAATATCATAATAAGCTGGCATGCTGCAGTAAATGTATAAATAAAGTAATAAAAGAAATATTTCAAATCATCTAAATATCGTCTTTGTAAAAGAGCAACATTAATATTTACAACAATAAACCATTTACAACAATAAACCTTAAACTATCTCAAAATACATCTCTTATTCTAGTTTCTTGGTAGATCAAACAAATATAACAACAGTGAAATCACCTTACATAATGTACCTGTAGTCAAACTTTATCTGATTGCATGAATGCATTTCATAAATGAATGAAAACGTCAAAATTGCCATTATGTCAAAATAAAAATTGATCATAAATATTAAACAGAATGACCACATGTTTTGTCTACTTACAGTATGGTAACAGACGGCACCAGCAAAATGGCGGATGAGGAATCCCTCATCATCACGTACATCACGGTGAGACTTCAGCTTTGATTTTCTCGGAATCTGAAATATAGTTTATAATGACTAAAACACCAAAATTATTAGGGTTGGCAACAAATACCAGAACTAATAACTCAAGTAGTCGGTCATTATTACCAATCTTGGTTACGAGGATGATTTCCAATGATCTTCAAAGTTTATCACACAATATCAACACCATCTACATGCTACTTTTGTTTCTATTTAAATTCATAGAAATTGTATTAGAAATAAACTGCAAGGGAGGTAACAAATAAACAAGTTAATACAAATTAAATCAACAACATTATATTTTACAACATTTTGATTAATGCACAACTTAAGGAATTTAAATATTATAAGAGGCCGAATGACATAAGCATCACAGGTGTTTAATCCACTGTTGATCACCTCGTTAAATTTATGATATCATTTTCGCACCTCTGCAAGGATGTTTTGATTGCATTTAACTGGTCTTGATGGTGATACGTGTGCATCTGCAAATTTCTGAACTAATTGGAAACACTAATCTTTCTAAATCGCAAAAAAATAGAAATTATATATTTTTCCTGAGTAATCGAATATCAATTTTGTTATGCAATACTCAGACGTTTGATCCAGTACTCAGTTAACCGGTTACTCATTGTCATCCCTAAAACTTATAGTTATAGAATAAATTAATAATGTGTTGTCCGGCTTTGATGTCAGGAAGAATGCATATTACACAGCAAAAAATAGTCAAAGTGATTAAAACCACTACAGATTTAATTTTTGCTTATTTTGTATGATTAACTGATATATGTGAACACCAGCTGTTACATTTGCACTTGTGGCCCAATTTGCTCATGACAATATATTACCTGATGTCTGTACTGTGAAATTTATTTTGATCTTACATGTATGATAAAAAGATTCACTAACCAACACATGTATACAATTAATCTCAAATAGCCTCTCTATGTTCAGTTTAATTAAATGAATCAAAGGGATCTGATATACATTTATTATCAAAATAGTAAGATTGATACCAACTGGTTAAAAGTGGGTTTGGAAACCATCTGGAATTAAATTCTATTATTATCTTATATGAACAAATGACGGTCAGAGTTTGTTATGACCTTAATTAATGTCATCATAACAGGTGATGTCCTTCTAACATACTTACACTGAGCCTGAAATGTTCCTTGTTTCTGTTATGGACCTCCATGGTGAAATGGTCAGGTTTAGGTGTGGGTAATTTACTTTCCTCATCTAACAGATCAAATATACCCTTAGCCTTTTGTTCAATCAACTCTGTTGAAAAAAAAGTAGTTGAATAGTTTTACAACTTCAAGGGTAAAACCAAGCTTTGAAACTGCCAAAATCAAATGTCAATCAAGTCATTAAACAAAATCAAAAGGTTGCCTTTCTTTAAAATATGAAAACTCTAGGGAAAACTGATTAAATGACCTTTGGTTTGAATACATAAGGTCAATGACCTACGATGTGAACCATGCTAAATAATTTTTTTGTTAAAGATTCAGGAAAATATACAAAACATATAAAAACAATATATATTACCAATACAGTCAGAGTTATCTGTCCATTTGATTTTCTTAACATTCAATCCTTCCTTCTCATACAACAGTTGTTCCTGCAAACATAGAAATACATGTGTATGTACATATCATCTGCACTTTCAGATTTCCAGTACTTCAGGTATTGACACATCTCAATACCTTACAAATGCAGGCCTTAATAACTTTTTCAGTAATTATAATATTATTGTAACATGTTATTTACATAGATATTTCAGATCCTCCCCAACTAGTCTTACAATTATATAGACAACCATGTTAAAATTGTAGACCTGTATTTTTTCTATACTTACATGTCAAGTTTCCATTTTTGGAGCTGTCAAATATCAATTTTAGGGATGTACAGCCTGTCCTGACTCTATACCGATGACAAAGGCTAATTATGTTTAAGGTCATCAGATTTAAAGTTGAAAGCCATGATAATGAGCCTAATGCCCAACTCTATATTCATGCTTCAACATTATGCTTAAACATTGACATCTCATCCTGTATCATACAGATACAACACCTAGCAATCCTAATACTGTCTTCTTATTACTGGCATCAAACACAGAAGCTACAAGCCAGTAAGCTACTATTTTTATAGAGGTACTTGATTAAGTCTTCATTAGTGATCAAACTCAAAACTTCTCACATGTAAGACATGTCAAAGTATAAATAAAACTTTTGCATACAAAGTAATGGAGTTTGTTTCTTACCTCCTTTAGAATTCTGTCATTGAAAAACTGCTGGAGTTTTTCATTACAGTAGTTGATACAAAACTGCTCAAAACTGTTCACTTGGAAATACTCTACAAAAATACAGGTATCATGTGAAAACATTAAAATATCATTCATCCATATTCAGCTACAGAGCTTCTGGTTTCAAATATAGAATAAAATCTCATGGCAAATGGCTAATTACTAAAACTGCATCAAAGATGGATCGCTGAAATGAGTTTTCAAGTAGTATTTGTGTATACTATGCCTAGAGTCTCTTATAGTACTAAGATAAATGAAGGACACCATTTCCAAACTTTCATCACATCTGAGCTTACATCTATTTAAATACACTCAACAAATATAAAAACATTGCCATAGACACTTACCAAATCCAGCTATATCAAGCAGACCAATAAAACTGCTGGAGCTAGCAAATGGAATGGCTTTATTCACTCTGAGAACAATGTAATCAAACAGTCGGGAATAAGTGGCCTTAGCCAGGGCATCTCTTGCACTGGAGGCTTCATACTGCTTCAGAGGAACCCTGTAATCAATGATAATACAAAGTTTACATCATAATTATGATGTTACACAGGTAACTATGGTTACCAAGCTGAGACAAACATATGACATGAAAATGATTCATCATGGTAAATGTCCAATACCTGTTTCCAATATTATCTTACAAATTCTTTCTATGTTAGTAATAAAAATTAAACAAGTAACATAAGAGTATTGCTTTAACACAATGATTTTTGTATTAACTCTGTATTAAATTTGTCAGGTTCTAGCAATACTAGTGATGGATGGCAAAGGTGGATTGTGTTGGGTTTTTTATCAGTTTAAATGCAGTGATAGAGGACAATCTGAATGGGATGGAGGATATATAGTTGACTTGTATGGTAAATATTCATTTCAAGAGAATTAGAACATAAATAGATCTTCATTAAAATACATAACAACTAATACTATGATAATATCTTCTTGACTTGATTGTACCAAAGCAATAAAGAGTCATTCGGAAATAATTGATTGTACCAAAGCAATAAAGAATCATTCGGAAATAACAATCAAATTCATGGCAAACATTTGCTGCAAATTAAAAATGTTAAAAAATGGATTTTACAGCAAAATGTTGATTTGAAGCTAGAACATTTACCTGACATTTACAAATATCTTAAATTATTTTCTTTCATCTGGCAAATATACTGATTACACAAACATGATATTTAAATAAACCCGAGAGGAATTCTAGCAGTTGAAAAGAAATTGCAAATGTTTATACTGTTCTACATGCCTTTCTCCAAGTTCAAGCAGTATAGTTTATACCAACAATAAGCACAGACACAAGCCTTTAAGTCCTTTAGAAGAAAGTAAATGAAAAAGACTAAAGTATCTTAAGTCAGTCAAATATCACATATCCCATCAATATAAACATTTATGTCAGTTTATATCCTTCACCATCTTGTTTCATGTAATACAAGCTTCTTTATTTATTCTTTTCATACTTACAATAAAATGAATTTAAATTCACCAATACAACTATGATTACAGTCTCAACTTATTCAGAGTAGTCACAACTCATCCAGACATTTCTAAATTCAATCAGACCAATCTAAACTCTGTCTTGATTCCTGCAGACAAGTCATTCAGACCAGTCTAAACTCGGTCTTGATTCCTGCAGACAAGTCATTCAGACCAGTCTAAACTCGGTCTTGATTCCTGCAGACAAGTCATTCAGACCAGTCTAAACTCGGTCTCAATTTATCAAGACCAGTCTAAATTCAGTCAGACCAGTCAAAACATCATATCATCATCAGATATTTTGAAGACAAGAGCGGATGATTTGCTTTTAATGCCATCACTGCAATAGTATGCAGCTTTACGTTTAATCAGTATCAGAAAGTAACTCAACAAATACAATTTAAAACTTTTTTTTGTGTGACAAAAAAAAAAACAACACAAGGAAGCATTCAAAGTAACAATCACTTTTCAGAATTTGTAATGTTTGAAAGTAGTGGAATGAAAATGATATATGAAATTTCTACTGCACTGAATAAGTGTTGATGAATGATGTCATGAATAGGTGCAATAGGATATTCATGAATGACAGGGAGTCTGGCAATAGGAAGCTCTTGTTGAGAATATTTGCACATAGGGAGAAATTTTTAACTTTAATCTTTATAGTATTTCTTCACAGGTGTTATATATATAAATACACAAACATTATTTCTGTTCCAGGGGTGTCATTAATACAGATATACTTCAAAAATATTCATGTCACTAAACAAATGCTGCACCCAAAATGTTGATTTTATTTTCCTATGTCTAAAATGCCTTAGATTCAACCTGTTAGCTACTGTAACTCTCCTTGGAAAATGCAAAAAAGCTGAACTTTTAAAACCTTTTTGCACAACAAATATTAATATGTATAATTCTTTAAGCACTTTGAATCTAATTAGCAGTTACGCATACTTCAATCTTTTTAAGCCTCCTTCTTTAAAGCATAAAGTAACAAAAGCGCACACACATTTTCTTTCATTTTAATTAGAACCCTGTTAACCACCAAAATGAATCTTGTCATTCAATATCCATTCACTATAAAACATACTCTACTTTACTTTATTTAATATAAATCAATGTACTAAGACATAATTTAAAACATGTGCACATGACTAGCCTATATCACAAGCTAAGAGCCAAACCAGCCTGGATAAACTTGTGCTATTTATCGCCTGCTTTAATATAGGATAAAGCTAGAGGCAATAAGTAAAGGTCAGCCAGAAAAACAATAAACTTGTGCAATCTGACAAGACTACATTTCAGGCTGCTCAATTTTCAGTTTTTTCAAAACCTTTTCATCAACAACGGATCTTTGAAAAGTAAATGCTTGACAAGTCTATTACACATATATTAGGCTAAGATTTATTTAACTTAATTTATATTCAATCAATCTTTCATTTGTAAGCACATCTTCCTCCTATTTAATTGATCAGATATTAATGACACCCCTGACTCTTACATAATAACTTCTCCATGATCCCTGTTGGCTAAAGATCTGTAAATAAACATGATCACACAAGAACTTACACAAATGTTGACTTGTTATAACCCTGCATCTTATATGATGATGTATAACACATTTTGAAAAAGAAATTTACCATTCTAAATTTCTACAATATTAATGTGCATTTATATGTATTTTGAACAAAAATTTAAAGCATCACAGCAAAACAAGGATAATTCCAAATAATATTCTCAGAGATATTTCCATTCTATTCTAGCTAAAGAATCATATAAATCATCCATTTTCTGACAAACAGCATGTATATTAAACATTTTAAAACTATGTAACACCTAACTGAATCAAGTTGCTACATACTTAATGGCTGTTCCCTTCACACCACCTCTAGTTGCCTGCATCACACGTGTGACAAGTGCTTCCCGCAATTCTTCCTTCTCAACACCCAACAAGACAGAGGCAATCTGTAGTGAACTTTCTGAAGCAGCTGTGATCATACAACCTCCTGTAAATGTACAATACAATATGAAACAGATCTTCTTATAAACCTTATTTTTGCTAATTCAGACGACCTAATGCTATTCTGTATTTTGCTTATGAGTTTTCAAATCTTTTTATAATAAATCTTTAAATTTGTGCCTAGTCTTCCAGTTTAATCTAATTTTATAACTATCTAAAAATCAAGTAAGAAACGTTTAATTTAGAAACACATGTTGGTAATCAGTTTTCCTTTTTTTTAACTGAGTGCTAACTAAAACAACTGATTTGGCTAGAGGCTCAAGGGGGTAGTTAAACTATAGGCTAAAAGAATACAACCAATTTTAACAGCATTTGAACCACTGATTTGATTTGCCAATCTATTAATGAAAACCCTGGGTAATGTCACAGGGTGATATTATATAAATAACACATGGCTGTAACGGTGAAACCCTAAAACTGGTATATAACCCGAGATGCAGCCGAGGGGTAATATGCCAGTTCAAGGGTTGCCAATATCCTCTATCACCCCGACAGCTGTGTGTTATTTATTTTATTATACTGAAAGATCTACAACTTCAATATTTATATAGTAAGCAGTGAAGGAAATAAATAGAATGCACATAATAACTATATTAAATTTCAAACTACGAAATGAAGCTTTGTGAACAATAATTTCTATCTATTTGATAGTGATCCATATTTTGAATACGGGGTTATGCAGAAGTTATGTGCCCCAGGATGATAGAAGAAATATTCCTATGGAAGTTTTACAATGAAGGATATATTGAGGTATAATAAAATCAGTTGGAGAATGATGCATATATAGCAAATAAAACAGTCTACCTAACGTTTGCTGTAATGATAGTAACCAATTGTTTTCAAGTAATGTAACTTCATCACAACAATGTAACATCATATGTAGTCTACTGAACTATCATGACTGCAAGTTGCTATCAAAAATATATATTAATGATTTTTATTAATACAACATATCATATTCATTTCACCTTTAGTATCTTCATGATTGTCTTCAAAGCTGATGTTTCCAAGATGAAGAACTGATGCAACAATCGTGTATACAGAAAACCTCTCGTCTTCTGACATACCAAGATGGTTCATAGCATCGTCACACACCTTAAAGTCTCGTACATCGTCTAAAACTGGGTCGTGTAGACTGCCATTCTTCAAAAACTAGAGACATAATATCCATTAATTAGAGTTTTATTGTCAATAGTGTTGAAAGGAGAGAAGTCAACAAACATTTTAATTTAAGAGTGGCGTTCACAAACGAAATACAGTTTCAACACACAAGATTGGGAATAAAATTCATGCTAGGTATTTAAACAGACATCTCATGGACAGGCAAATGTTCATTAAACTAGAAATGTGTCATCATGCCACGGATGCCCCCGCATGCAGCCAAAATTTCAAATGTTATAATATTTAGTTCCAAATTTGTTTGCACAAATTATTTTTTTCATTCTACGTTCAAAGCCCTTAAAACTTTTCAATGTTAACACAAACCATTTTTATACAATGTTCAAGGCACTGAAATTATTCGGTCTTAACCTTTTGAAAATAGCATATTGCATATTTGCCAAAATAATGGCTATATACATTTCCACAAAAGTATGATCGTGAAACTGAAAGTTCAAAATTTTTCCAACATTCAAGAAAGATAAGTTTGTCAAAAATCATTGAACAACGACCAAATTCCAACTTAAACTGCTTATTCCTAAGATGTATCTATATTATTTTCAAAATGAAAGGGACATAACTCTGCCAAAAAATCATCGAACCATGACCAAATTCCAGCTTGACCTGCGCATTCCTTTGACATATCCATATGTCAATTTTGAGTTAAATATGTAACACTGTTGGGTTGATAATGAACAGAAACTGTAAATTTCATATCATTTTCAAAGTGAAAGGGGCATTACTCTGCCAAAAATCATTGAACCATGACCAAATTCGAACTTGGCCTGTGCATTCCAAAAATATATCCATATGTCAAATTTGAGTTGAATGTGTAATACTGTTGGGGAGATAATAAACGGAAACTGAAAATTTCATATTATTTTTAAAGTGAAAGGGGCATAACTCTGCCAAAACTCATCGAACCATGGCCAAATTTGAACTTGACCTCCGTATTTCTTTGACATATCCATATGTCAAATTTGAGTTGAATGTGTAATACTGTTGGGAAGATAATAAATGGAAACTGAAAATTTCATATTATTTTCAAAGTAAAAGGGGCATAACTCTGCCAAAAATCATCGAACCATGACCAAATTCGACCTTGACCTGTATTTTCTCATGACATTTTCATATGTCAAGTTTGAGTTGAATGTGTGTACCATTGGGGAGATAATGAACGGAAACTGAAAATTTCATATTATTTTCAAAGTGAAAGGGGTATAACTCTGCCAAAAATCATCAAACCATGACCAAATTTGAACTTGACCTGCGCATTCCTTTGACATATCCATATGTCAAGGTTGTACCATTGGGGAGTTAATGAACGGAAACTGAAAATTTCATATTATTTTCAAAGTAAAAGGGGCATAACTCTGCCAAAAATTATCGAACCATACCCAAATTCGACCTTGGCCTGTATTTTCTCATGACATATCCATATGTCAAGTTTGAGTTGAATTTGTGTACCATTGGGGAAATAATGAACGGAAACTGAAAATTTCATATTATTTTCAAAGTGAAAGGGGCATAACTCTGCCAAAAATCATCAACCATGACCAAATTTAATCTTGACCTGCGCATTCCTTTGACGTATCCATATGTCAAGTTTGAGTTGAATGTGTTTTACCATTGGGGAGTTAATGAACGGAAACTGAAAATTTCATATTGTTTTCAAAGTAAAAGGGGCATAACTCTGCCAAAAATCATCGAACCATGACCAAATTTGAACTTGACCTGTATTTTTTCATGACATATCCATATGTCAAGTTTGAGTTGAATGTGTTGTACAGTTGGGGAGATAATGAATGGAAACTGAAAAATCCATATTATTTTCAAAGTAAAAGGGGCATAACTCTGCCAAAAATCATCGAACCATGACCAATTTCGAACTTTGCCTGTATTTTCTCATGACATATCTATATGTCAAATTTGAGTTCAATATGTGCAACGGTTATTAAGATAATGAACGGAAACTGATGATGACGGAAGGACGGAATGACGGAATTACGGAATGACGGAACAGGGTAACACTATATGCCCTTGCCATTATATGGCGGGGGCATAAAAAAGAAGAAATGGAGCAAACATCAAATAGGCTAGCAATTTATGTAGCAATCCTTACCAATCACTGTAAAGAACAAATTTTCAATACTGTAGAAAACCTTATTACAATCATCATACACCAAAAAAATAGTTCAATAACCCCTGGCTTGCTCTGATGATACTATGAACATTGTACAAACAAGTAAATTTGTCCAGAGTAATAAATGATCAGAAGTTTTGCAAAATAATATTGGATGTGCACTTGCTAACAATCTGTTTATCAGACTCATATCAGCATTAACATTTCTACTATTTTATATTCTTATTTCTATACCAATAAATCTTTATTTGTACACTAGAAACTGCTATTTTCTATGCAGAAATCACTGCTATAAAAATATCTTATTTTACTTGTAAAAACAGCTTACACTCAAACAGTCTTGCTGTGCTGACTTTTAAGTAAATTACATCATGTTTTAAGCACAACAGTTTTAGCAGCAGACATAAAAACAAGGTGTTTCATGCAGTCTACTTACCATTTGACTTTTCCTTTCATTACCAAGGGTTTTCACTGTTTCTCTTGTAGTAAAATACTGACTGTTTCCACGAGACAGATACTAAAATCATGCAAAAATTCAGAAAAACATTTACACAGGAATTTGGTAGCATAACAAGAACAACAATAACATGGGAAGTTTTGATGGCTTTTTATACAACAGCAGGAATTATAATATTAAAATATAGTAAAGCACAGACTGTAGTTGTAAGAGCTGTCCATATCAGCTACTTGACAATTAGAAGTTTTACTGGATGACAATCACTAACAAGTATTCAAAGCAAAACCTCAAACGGTATAGGTAATAAGTTGGGTAGTACAAAAAAACTTTACTGAAATTCTTAGTAAAGAAAGGGGCATAATTTTGTCAAAATCCATGACATCATCATATCCTCTTGCCTTGAAGTGGAGATTATGGTCACTTACAAGTATTGAAAATTTCAAAGCAATATCTCAAAGGGTGTAGAAAATAGAAGGGGCGGTACAAAAAACTGAACTAAGTGTGCTAGACAATAGAAGGGGTGGTACAAAAACTGAACTAAGTGTGATGCAGACACTGACAGACAGATGAGAAGGTTAGCTCTCCCTATTATATAAATATAAAAGCTAAAAAAGTGTGAATTTTGTTTACATACAATTGTTTGTTACAGGACTCTTCATATTTTATCTCTAATTTTTCGTTATGAAATTCAGCTGACAAATTGAAATTGCTGACAATATTTAAACAACATAACACAGGTATACAACACTGTACAATACTAAACCATCTAGTATGAGAAGACCACCATTTACAATACAAGTTACTATATCATCAACATGTATATCATACATATTCTTATCTTGTCAGATGCGACAATTTTCATTTTTTACAAACCTCCGACAATACAACTTAGTAAATATAAAAACAGTGAACATTCAAGGATAGGATGTCAACAAGAAATTTATAAAAACCAAAAGTTTTATATCAATTTTCTTACAACAATACCATCAAAAAAGGACCAGTTACAACCCTTTTTTGATTTTTGTTTTATACAATTTTCACTTTTCACCCTTCTTTTTTGAATATATGGAGCCCTTAAACATGATTCAATTCTGTCAAAATGCACCTACACTAAACAAAGTCCCATACTTGTACAATTAATCTAAACAGTACTGACTACACCTATATTCAAACATAGATTTAACCATACTTACAGCATGTACTTCTAAACTAAACTGATCTACTGCTATAAGAGGAGTGATGAATACCCCTACCTTCTCTCATGTATGTCTATCTTATCATTATTTTAAGTGAACATCTGAGCTACGTTTGAAAAAAAAATCTTAATTGAGTATCCAATTTTTATTGTGTGGATTGACACTGGACCTTCAAGGGTGACCTTGACCCTGTACAGCAATGGGATGGAATCTGCTCATCACCGTGTTGAGATATCATGTCAATTACCATTTATCACTTAATTCATAAAACACCTAGTGACTAAACTGAACCCAGTTCACTTCCTACTAATTAATTCAAGTAAACCTTTACTCAGACATACATAGAACTGGTCTGGTGCAGCAAGATGTAGTTTCTTGAAGAGATCTGGTGGAGCACCGGCACACATCCGGTAAAATATATGATAGTTTCTCTCTTCCTTGCTCTGAACACATATACGGGACTTCTCTAATAGGTAGTGAGATATAAAACCTCCTGCCACAAAATTCTGAAATAAAACATGAAAAATAAGATAACTTCTTATCTAATACTATATTTTCTTTGCAGTATATTCCTGTCATGTCTTATTGAATCACAGTAAGAGAAAACTGGAGTGGCTGTTCGTTTTTACTTTCACAATACAAATGTATCATAAAACCATTTAGTTAACAAATACAAATGGAAAATTTCTAAATATTTTTCTATAAATTTTGAATGCAAAAGTTGACAAAAACAGCAGGGTGGGCAAGCCACCTCATCTTTACAGTCTGAACAGACTCTATTCTCTTGTCTGAATATTTACTGTAAATTAAAATTAAACCTTCCTTGCTAGGATAAACCAATACAAATAAGTGAGAATACAAATAAGAATCATGCAGGGACCTTAACTCTTCACTTGCTGATTTTGCCTCAATAGACTTCAATTTTTTACATAGTTCAAAACCAAATTCAAGTGGAAAAAAACAGGTTGTGTGTTTTATCCTGAACAAGATATAACTGTTCATTCAGTAGTGTCAGAATTATTTGTTATTTGTATTATGCACTCACAGCAAATGCTTAACAATCTCAACAAGGTAAAGGTTCTTAGGTTAACATTTTTCTTATTTAACCCTTTGCCTCCTGGTGGCAAGATTCTACACATGTGAGAATCCCAGACCAAGACCATCTGGCACATCCATGCTGTCAGATCATGGTCAGAACTGTTCACTATTCATTATAAAATATCTTCCTAAAAAATGATTTTGTCAAGATGAATAATGGACAAGAACACTTATTAGTGTATTTAGCATGGCAAGGATTAAACACTGATTAACTTACCTTGCCATCAAAATGGATTTCTATAAACTTTCCAAATCTACTACTGTTGTTATTTCTGACTGTCTTTGCATTACCAAACGCTTCTAATAATGGATTAGCTGCAAACAATAATACAATTTCATAATGATTGGGAGACAAACTAATACTGTTTGCCAGTTTGTTCATCATTTATTATGTCTAACCTTACAACATAAAGAGTAATAAGCTACCTAATATCTGTAACCTAATATCCTTAAGGCAATATAATGAGAGTGAGCATAATTATCATATTAAAGATATATTTGAACACTCCAAAAGCAAGAGACAGTCGAGAAGCAGTGCAGTCCACCTATCTCAGTGCTGGATAGTAATTTGAAGTAAAGGTCACAAGATCACATGGAGTTTGACCTGTGACAGGCAGAACTCATCAAGATGCAGCAACATATCAAGTTTCAAAGTCATAGATGAAGTTATTCAACTTGTACAAAAAGTCCTTGCATTCACTTTTGGCTGGTTAACATTCCTGATACAGAATTTGGCTGGTTATCAAACTCTGATATAGTATTTTGGCTGGTTAACACAAGAGCGATCAGTAATCACATGTGTCGCCTCATGATGGCCAATTTCATGTTGGGACAAATTTTGTGACAGACGAACGGACAGACGGACAGTGCACAACTAGACTTTGTACTGATCATTCCTGTAAAATTGGATAAAATTGCACCAGTAGTTTATGAGGAGTAGTTCGGACAAGCTTTTGCGTATCTGGCAACACACAGAAAAAAACTCCTTTTTATCAAAGGGCCATAACTCGGCCAAAAATCATTCAACCGGAAAACCCGTGCAATATGCGCAAGGACTTGAGCTACAGATCAATCCTGTAAAGTTTCATTGAAATTGCATAAGTGGTATAAGAGAAGTAGTCTGGACAAACTTTAAAAATAAAAATTATTAAAGGGCCATAACTTAAACAGAAATCATTGAACCGGAAAATGCTGACAATCTGCACAACTAGACTTGGTACTGATCATTCCTGTAAAGTTTGGATGAAATTGCACCAGTAGTTTATGAGGAGTAGTCCGGACAAGCTTTTGTGTATCTGGCAACACACAGAAAAAGAAACCTTTTTATCAAAGGGCCATAACTCGGCCAAAAATCATTCAACCGGAAAACCCGTGCAATATGCGCAAGGACTTGAGCTACAGATCAATCCTGTAAAGTTTCATTGAAATTGCATTAGTGGTATAAGAGAAGTAGTCCGGACAAACTTTAAATTAAAAATTATTAAAGGGCCATAACTCTGACAAAAATCATTGAACCGGAAAATCCTGACAATATGCACAACTAGACTTGGTACTGATCATTCCTGTAAAGTTTGGATGAAATTGCACCAGTAGTTTATGAGGAGTAGTCCGGACAAGTTTTGAGACGGGCGGACAGACAGACGGACGGACAGACAGACAGACGGACAGACAGACGACGGAGAAGTGATCCCTATATGTCGCCACTACTCCGTAGAGGCGACACAAAAACGGTTTAAACCTGATACAGTATTTTGGCTGGTTAACAAAACCTGATATAAATGTTTGGCTGGTTAACTTACCCTAGTACTAGTAGAGGGAACATTTTGGCTGGTTAATGAACTGTGATACAGTTATCTGTTTTGTATAGTTATCATACATGTATTGATACAGTAACCACATTAGTCTCACTTAACTTCTCTGACACAGTAATCAGTCTTTGGCTGCTTTAACTTACACTTATACAACTTGGTACTTAGTAACGGACAGTTAGATTCAAAAGAGTAACTGCTTCATCATTTTACAAATACATTAAGGAAGTACATGTAAAACAATTTGAACAACAAAGTTATATATCATCAGATTGTCATATACAGTAATAGTTTGACTTACATTCTACAATTCTTTGTTCTATAGGACCAGCTTTAGTTCCCCAGTTGTCTGTTAGATATTTGAGAATATATTTGGTAGATTCGGTTTTACCAGCACCAGATTCTCCCGACACGATGATAGATTGACTGGTTTTGTTTACCTTCATGTCACGGAATGCCTTATCCGCTGTAATGGTAAAATATCTATTAATATAATGTAATATAGAAAAAATGCCACAATCACTTCACCACTTAAGAATTAATTTTAACCTATATGCATATTGCATATCAGACAGGATTTTCTAGTGTTTACACCACTGCTAGAAAATCTTATCTTACTGCCCCCTCCTTCTGTGCCATGCTTAGTATGACATCATTTTCCTACATGTGTATTAAGAATGAAATAAATTCATACATTACTATAAGAAAAATATACAATTGTTTGTTTAAATATCCTAATTACATCAGCTCTTTATGTAATAGGATGTAAAGCTAAAAATGGTAAAATATAGTATGAAAATTTCAGAAACAACCATCAAGTTTTTTCATTGTCAAGATCATTTAACAATAAGAGTTTTAATAACAGAATAAAATGCCAAAAACCAAAATATTCAACTAATATTTGACATTAAGCAATGATTTCTCATGTAAACTTTACAAACATCAGTCAATTTAGGTACTTTGAACTAATTTTTCATCAAGATACAAATACATTTCTTCCAATTATAAGCAGCCCAATATTATTTTATATACAAGGAAAATAACTGCTGACAAATTATTATTACAAATAACTGATTTTGACAATATGAACTTACCAATAGAGTACACATGAGGAGGCATGGTTCCCAGTGACTTCCCTTTATAATTATGCCGACAATCAGACGAGTACAAGTCAGGAATCTTGGCGTAGGGATTCAATGCAATTAGAATGTTGGCTGTGAATGTCTGCAACAATTTAGTAATATTAAATCAATAAAGTTTCACTTTCACACTAACTTAAACCATATCATGAACTAAATTGCAACTTAACAATCAACCATTATAATTCAATCATATCTATGTATGTGTTATATTTCTGTATTTACTACATTAAAAGCTTTAATAATATTAAGTATAAGAATGAATTAATTTGTATTGACATAATGATTTTGTTTGATTGTCGTACTGGGAGTTTCTAGTTTCATGGGTGAAATGATAAAGTACAATGTAACAATTTGGTAGAATTTTCCAGGTACTTGCAGGTTTAATTTAAGTTTTTGTTATCCTTTATTGGATTAGAAATAGCAATATTGCAAGCCAGTGATTAAATGTCAATGTCTATTTAACAATTTAAATGTGAAAAATGAAAAGACAAATATGTTTAATTACAAGTAGACATACTCACATAGATTTTATTTTTCAGGTATCTCATTTTGAGATTGTTAAGGAGAGTAGCCTCGTTAAGGTACATAAGTCCACAGTTATCATCTACATCCTTGTTGTCGTACTCCTCTGCCGGGAATGCTCGGTCATACATAGCCTTTAATGTCTGTATAACAAAATATTACTTCATGGCATATATGACATATTTTCATTGATGTTTTTAGATAAATAAGTTCTTATTATATCAGTTAAAATGTAACATAAAGATGGATAGCACCTTCTTTCCAAATGATCACACCTCAGATCCTAGGTCCTAGTTGTAGAAGTCACTATTATTTTCCATGAATAAAATTTTTTTTCAATTTAAATCAGAATCTAAAAGATAAAAGTTTAACAATATTCTATCATTATCGAAGTATTTCACAACAAAATATCAACTAACCGTGCCTGGAGCATCAAAAGGCTCGACAGTAATAAATTCTTGCCCAATATCCACAATACGCCCGAGCTTGAACCCATCTGTGGCGTGGGGAACCCATACTTTCTTTCCCCCATCCATGGCTCACCAACTCAATTGCTTTTCCTCAAATATCAATCTGAAAATATATATATGAATGGAATAAATTAAATCATAATATAAATTTTAAATATCAGTCATCATGATTGTCTTACATTATATTAATACAACCACACTCACCAGTACAGTAAACTGTTCATATGATGAGGAATAAAATTTATATCATCAGAAGAACTTAAGCAAAACATACCCTTCAAATTTTGTAAATGTGAGAACAAAATAGCATAACAAGAGCTGTCGGTAGGACAGCAACGCTCGACTATTCTTAGTGCTTGATAGTAAAAAAAAGCTTGATAGAGTTACCTCCTCCTGTTTACAGGTTGGGGTCATGATGGTGAACAAGTGTGCAAAGTTTCAAAGCCATATGTCAATGGACTTTGAAAATATTTGAACTATTACAAAAACTTTAACGTAAATTCTAAGTCGAAAAAGGGGCATAATTCTGTCAAAATGCTTGATAGAGTTACCTCCTCCTGTTTACAGGTTGGGGTCATGATGATGAACAAGTGTGCAAAGTTTCAAAGCCATATGTCAATGGACTTTGAAAATATTTGAACTATTACAAAAACTTTAACGTAAATTCTAAGTCGAAAAAGGGGCATAATTCTGTCAAAATGCTTGATACAGTTATTTCCTCCTGTTTCCAGGTTGGGGTCATGATGGTGAACAAGTGTGTAAAGTTTCAAAGCCATATGTCAATGGACTTTGAAAATATTTGAACTATTACAAAAACTTTAACGTAAATTCTAAGTCGAAAAAGGGGCATAATTCTGTCAAAATGCTTGATAGAGTTACCTCCTCCTGTTTACAGGTTGGGGTCATGATGTTGAACAAGTGTGCAAAGTTTCAAAGCCATATGTCAATGGACTTTGAAAATATTTGAACTATTACAAAAACTTTAACGTAAATTCTAAGTCGAAAAAGGGGCATAATTCTGTCAAAATGCTTGATAGAGTTACCTCCTCCTGTTTCCAGGTTGGGGTCATGATGGTGAACAAGTGTGCAAAGTTTCAAAGCCATATGTCTATGGACTTTGAAAATATTTGAACTATTACAAAAACTTTAACATAAGTGGTTACGCCGACGCCGACGCTCGGGTGACTGCAATAGCTCTACTTATTCTTATCGAATAGTCGAGCTAAAAACCATAATACAGCAAGTGATCACAATTAATGCGTATTGAATGAATAACAAAACAATATTGAAAACACTGCTGACACTAATGACATAAGACATACAGAAGAAAAAATATCACCGTTAGAAACCTTTTAACCTTCAATTAAAGATCTGTTAATTTAAAATCATATATTTCAAACAATGCTTTCATAGTGAAACTGTTATTTGCTCATTATGCCAAAAACAAAAACATGATTATTGCAATATTAATCAACCTGAAATATGGGGAAAAAGCAAAATGGTAAACAAAACATACCAAGTTAAAACACTCCTAATTGTGTCTAATTAGACATAAACATTTTTTCTTGTGTAACAAACCAATAATAAATTAGCTTGGTAATGATCAGTAATTAATCCATGAAGTTGCTCTGAGACAAGAATGATGGTGTTTAACAACCGGCTTCATAAAGCTAAGTCTTGAATGCAGAAATTAATCTATTTTTTTTGTTCACTTTCATAGATAAAATGGCTGCAGATCTCATAGTCATAACTACTTTGACCATCAAAGTACAACCTATATGCCTTGGAAAGGGTGGGAAATATCTGTAAACCTGGTGTGTAAAATAGACAATGCATTCATTTCTCATAGAAGCTTAATGGCAGGTAGACATTGGATATCAAAAATCAATAGGTAACAAACAATATATAGAATGAAGTAAGGTGAGAGACTGGTTGTCAGCTTCTATTTTAACATATATGTAAATCAATATGTACACTGTATAATTATATAACAGAGTCAAAGTTCAATACATTGAAATGGTATTAGCCAAACCAAACCCTTGTATTCTGTTTGGTGCTGTAGACTGCAACACATTGTGATATACAATGTAAATTAGACTTTCATCCTTATTTTGTTAGCATATGTTTTACTGCTGAGTAATGTCAGCCCCTATACACAACTGCCACCTAGGGCAAATTTGACCCCAGGTTTTATGAAAAACAAAATAAAGGAAAATAGTAAAATTATTAAAATGCAAGAAAAGAAATCTAAATAATAATATTTTTCGTATGAATGTTACGGTGCATTAAATTTATGATTTTATGGTTGAATAACAGTATAACTGGTGCATAATTACAACTAGTGATTAAAGTGTTAATATACAACTAGATTATTCTATTATCACAATGCCAGACTCCATCTTAAACTTATTACACCTCAAATGTTTCAGTCAAACATTTTATAATAACCTTTCTCTTCCTAGAAATATCATACAAATATACTTCTAATAATATACTGATAATCAATATTCCTTTATTCTTAGCTGATAAAATAATTAATTAACCTTTGAACCCCTCTAACTCATGATATATAACTTGCTTTGAAAATATTGCAATCCTGCTATATTAATAAATTGCTCCGACATTTAAACAATGCTAACTTACAGCTTAACACATTATGTTAAGTAAATGCATATTTAATTCCAAACTTCTCCATCTAAAATAAGAATTTGTAACAGAGTTACCAACGTCCCCCGTCCCGGGAGTTTTCTATGAAGCATAAAATTGTGCTATTTCAAAAGATTGAGGTATGGATCTCAGGACATTCAGTCCAAAATTATGATCAATGCTAGATCTGCAAATGTAACAATAAATTTGTTAAAAAAATAAAATGAAACATGGAATTTAAAAATTTATCATGTTAAGCTTTGACCTCTAAGTGTGACCTTGACCTTGGAGGTAGGGGAGCAGGTGTTGTGCATGACATAACGTCTTATTATTGAGACTATTTGTGCCAAGTATTTTCAAAATCCCTTGAACTATGAAGAAGTTATAGATTGGACACAAAATATACCCTATAACAGACTATGTAAATCTTTGACCTCTAAGTGTGACCTTGACCTTGGAGGTAGGGACACAGATGTTACGCATGACATATCATCTAATCATTGTGACTATTAATTAAATTTTGTGCCAAGTATTTTCAAAATCCCTTTATCTATGAATCCCTTGAACTATGAAGAAGTTATAGATTGGACACAAAATATACCCTATAACAGACTATGTAAATCTTTGACCTCTAAGTGTGACCTTGACCTTGGAGGTAGGGACACAGATGTTACGCATGACATATCATCTAATCATTGTGACTATTTGTGCCAAGTATTTTCAAAATCCCTTAATCTATGAAGAAGTAATGGACGGGACAAAAAATATACCAAATAACAGACTCTGTTAACCTTTAACCTTAAAGTGTGACCTTGACCTTAAGAGGTAGGGATGCAGGTGTTGTACCTGACATATCGGCTTATTATTGTGACAATTTGTGCCAAGTTATTCCAAAATCCCTTGAACTATGAAGAAGTTCTAGATTCGACACAAAATATACCCTATAACAGACTATGTTAATTTTTGACCTCTAAGTGTGACCTTGACCTTGGAGGTAGGGATGCAGGTGTTGCGCATGACAAATCCTCTTATTATAGTGACTATTTGTGCGAAGTATTTTCAAAATCCTTTGATCTATGAAAAAGTTATAGACCTGACACAAAATATACCTTGTAACAGACTATGTAAGTATTTGACCTCCAAGTGTGACCTTGACCTTGGAGGTAGGTGACCGGTTTTTGCGCATGACACATCATCTGATTATTGTGAACAATTATGGTAAGTATTTACAAAAGTCCTTTATAGATAAGAAAGTTATGGACCGGACACGACATATACCCTCAAATAGACAATGTTGACCTTGAATGAGCAAGTACGACCTTGACCCTGAAGGTACGGGTCTGGTTTTTGCGCATGACACATTGTCTTATTATAACAAACATTTGTACCAAGTAATTTCAAATTCCTTTGATAAATGACAAAGTTATGGACCGGACACGAAATATACCCTGTAACAGACTATGTTAATATTTGACCTCCAAGTGTGACCTTGACCTTGAAGGTAGGTGACTGTTTTTTGCGCATGACACATCGTCTGATTATTGTGAACAATTATGGCAAGTATTTACAAAATCCCTTCATAGATAAGAAAGTTATGGACCGGACACGACATATACCCTCAAATAGACAATGTTAACCTTGAATGAGCAAGTACTACCTTGACCCTGAAGGTACGGGTCTGGTTGTTGCGCATGACACATCCTCTTATTATAACAAACATTTGTGCCAAGTAATTTCAAATTCCTTTGATAAATGACAAAGTTATGGACCGGACACGAAATATACCTTGTAACAGACTATGTTAATATTTGACCTCCAAGTGTGACCTTGACCTTGAAGGTAGGTGACTGGTTTTTGCGCATGACACATCGTCTGATTATTGTGAACAATTATGGCAAGTATTTACAAAATCCCTTCATAGATAAGAAATTTATGGACCGGACACGACATATACCCTCAAATAGGCAATGTTGACCTTGAATGAGCAAGTGTGACCTTGACCCTGGAGGTAGGGGTCTGGTTGTTGCGCATGACACATCGTCTTATTATAATAAACATTTGTGCCAAGTTATTTCAAATTCCTTTCATAAATGACAGTTATGGACCGGACACGAAAGTGTGACGGACGGACCAACAGACGGACGGACAGACGGACGGACGGAGCCTATTTCTATATCCCCCTTTTTTCGTCGAAAAGGCGGGGGACAATTACCACCTATAACTGTATATACGTCTTTCAGATAAGACTTAGAAATCTGGACTCAACATGTTTTAACAATTTTCTAATTCAACAGTATATTTATAATTAATAGCCTTGAATATGAAAAATGATTGATTTTTTTCAGTTTCGCTGTTGCACAAACATGGTTGCAAATCATGCACAGATTGAGATTGTGCATGCTGGTATTGCTCCAGATTGATGGCCAACAAATCATTAACAAGGATAAAACTGAGAGA